CATTTTTTTTTTTTTTTTTTTTTTTTTTTTTTTTTTTTTGGTACTGGGGCTCGAACTCAGGCCCTTGTGCTTGTGAGGCAGGCACCAGAGCTACTGAGCTAAATCCCTGGCCCAGGCTAAGTCTTTAGGAGGTGACTACAGTGTATTTGCTTCCAGTTTTAGGTCAGTCTTAGAATTTTAACGAAGATAGTTCCCTTTGTGCAAAGCATTATGGGTACAGTAGAATAAAAGGAAATCTTTCCTAGCAAAAAAGTTGTTATATAACAGGAGAAAGACAAATGTATAGAAATAATCAACATAAGAGGACAAATAATTAGGTTTGGAGAGGACTAGATAATGAACCTGTCAGCCTCAGTGTTATAAATTGGGTATTGATGGTTTAAAACTCCAGTTTCAAATTGCCCATCAACTGGAGATTGGATAAAGGTGTGTTTGTTTTAATAAAATGGAGTACTACTCAGCTATAAAGAATGAAAAACTAGAGACATTTATAGCTACGTGGATGCACATTGAGTACATACTCTTTCTTTTTTGGTTTTTTTGAGACAGGGTCTCACTGTGTAGTTGAGACTGACCTGGAACTCACTATGTAGCCCAGGCTGGTCTCAAACTCACAGCAATCCTCCTGCCTTAGCCTCCCTAGTGGTGGAATTACAGGTGTGCGCCACCATGCCCGGCTGAGGACATACTGTTAAGTGAAATTAATAGGAAATAGTGTAACTAGCGTATAATTTCTCTGATGTGATAAACTAAAAGCCTAAATAAGGGTCAAAATGCATAATTGATATTTTGTAGTAGGAAGAAAAGGTCTAAAGATGTTGGGCAAATGAGAATAGTTAAGGGAAAGGTAAGGGAAGAGAAAAGGAAAAAAATTGAAACAGAGTCTTTGTAGCTAGGGAAGGTGGAGGGGGAAGGGAGGCTAGAGGAATAGGGAAAAAATAAGGACCAAGATATGTCACGTAAGGATACAAGATCCCAATGAGGAATGTAGCTGTGTTATATATCTAAAATGTACCAATAAAAAAATACATATATTTTTAAAAAATCCAGGGCTGGGCGTGGTGGCGCACGCCTGTAATCCCAGCACTCAGGAGGCTGAGGCAGGAGGATCGCTGTGAATTTGAGAGCAGCCTGGGCTACAAAGTGAGTTCCAGGTCAGTCTCAACTACATAGTGAGACCCTGTCTTAAAAAACCAAAAAAAAAAAAAAAAAATCCACTTCCAGAACCAAAATGTTTATTTGAAATCTTTGTGAACTTGGGATTAATCTCATGTAAATCATATAAAATTATAGTAATTTAAGAAATACTGAATATTTATTGTTTATTTTTGTGGTACCAGGGATTGATAGATCCTTCACACTGAGCTACATTCCCTCACCCCTTTTATTAAGAGATTTTTGGGTGAGGGGGCAGAGTCTTACTAAACTTGCCTAGGCTGCAGTCAAGCTCTTGATCCCTCTATGTAGGCTCCCAGAGTGCTGGGATCATAAGTGCACTGCCATAGCTGGCTCCTTCAGAAATTTAAATCTAGAACTTTAGGTTGTACTCTTTTTGTAGTCCAGGTCTTACAATTTCTTTGAACTCAGTCCTGATAGTAGAAACTTGTTAAATTTCTGGTTAGGTATACAAGCTGCCTCCAGCAAAATGGTATCAGAAGAAGTCAGTGAGAATCGAAAACGGCTTAACAAATCACAAACAGACCAAGGAGTCAGTGCAAAGAAAAAGAAATGCTTTTGGTAAGTAGGTTTCATTTTCATTCCAAATTGATCTGGAGGACTGAAATGATATATTTATTCTGTCTGCCTGGCACATGCACATTTTTTAGTTTGATGGAAGCTCAAAAAACTGTATAGGGCTTTAGTTGTCCAGTTTCGGTGATTATCATATAATACACATTTTTATGTTTTTTGCTGTGAGTACCATTAATAGAAAGTAAAGGGTAATTCTTTTCCTTTTGGTGAAACATTAAAGATAATTTTATATTCAAATTATTTTTGGTATTGAGAGAATTAACTTTCATATATTCCAGGTACATGTCAAGCTATACTTCCCATGTGTCTGGTCTTCAGTTACTTTGCTGGACCTCTTCACCATTTGTAGGGGAAAGGCATAGCATCCTTTTTTCTCACCCATTCTGTTGTTCTCTTGGTCCTCTGCTTGGCCCTCTGGTTGCTCACTCAGTTCCCCAGGCCTTTAAGTTCTCAAAAATGCTAAGTGTCACTGGATCTTGCTTCCTTATTGTCTTCCCTTTGGGGATACAGTGATACCTCAGTTCACGAACTTAGAGTCTTTCCATGATTCTGGTTGTGAACTGAGTTGGAGGAGAATCGAATCAAATTTAATGGTTGGGTTCAGTGTTGAGCTTGTGGGAAAATTTGATTCTGTTCTCCTCCAGTTTGGTTTGTGATCGGAATTGTGGTGAGAATTGAATTCATGAATCAAGGTACCACTGTAATTATAACCAAAGACGGACGATTAGGTAACTCTTGACTTCAGAGAATTTTGTGTGTGTGTTTGTGTGTTTTTTGTACCGGGGATCGAACTTGGGACCTTGAGCTTGCATGGCAGGCAGCAGCACCACTGAGCTAAATCCCTAGCCCTATATTAAATCTTAATCCTTTTTACTTTCCCTTTCCCTCCCCAAGGTTTTCTCCTTCCATGTGTAGATTGCCTTCCCATTGCAAAAAGTCTACATTATCTCCCTGTTTCCTATTATCTATTTTTTATTTCACTAATCTTTAAATTATTTAAACTTTGGGTTTCTCATACAAGGGAAACCATATAGTATTTAAGCTTCTGTGTCTGATTTATTTTACTTAGCACTGTGGTCTCAATATATACCCATTTTCCTACAAATGATCCAAATTTATCATTTATTGTGGCTGAGTAGTATTTTCTTGTGTACATAAATCAGATTTTCTTTATCCATTCATTATTTAACATGTTCACAATACGGCCTTAATTTGTCTCACTGTTGGGTGGCTTAGGCCACTGATGGTACATGCATGATTGTCCCATTGGGTGGCTTGTACTGATAGTAGAAGTGGTCATGCATGGGACGGTCAGGCATGGGGCAGTCATGCATGTACCACCAGTGGTCCAAGCTGACAGGAGTGTGTTAATGGATACGTAGGCTACTTCCAAGATGTAGCTGTTATGTGTTAAACATGGGTATTTATGTATCACTGTGATGATATGTCTGATTCTTCTGGGAAGATACCTAGAAGGGTAGTAGCTGGGTCGAATGGGATTTATATTTTTAGTTTTTCTGAGGAATCTGTACTGATTTGTGTAGTTGTACTAGTTTATATTCCCACCAGCAGTGAAGAATAGTTCCCTTTTCTATGCAGCTTTGGCAGCATTTCTTTGTTTGATTGTTTTTGGTACCAGGGATTGAGCTCAGGCCCTTGCGCTTGTGAGGCAGGCACCAGAACCACTGAGCTAAATCCCCAGCCCAAGCATTTGTTTTTTTGTTTCTGGTTTTTTGAGACAGGGTTTCACTATGTAGTTGAGACTGACCTGGATCTCACTATGTAGCCCAGGCTGGTCTCGAACTCACAGTGATCCTCCTGCCTCAGCCTCTGGAGTGCTGGGATAATAGGCGTGCACCACCACACCTGGCACCAAGCATTTGTTTTTTATTTCTTGATGATTGCCATTCTTTCTGGAGTAAGATGGAATCTTTGTGTTTTTAATTTGCATTTTGTCTAATGGCTAGCAGTGTTGTGAACAGTTTTTCATGTCTTTATTGGCCATTTGTACTTTTTAGAAGTGTTTATTCATTTCATTTGCCCATTTTTTTGTATGAGGTCTTTTAAAGTGTCTAATTTTTTTCTTTTTTTGTACAGGGATCAAACTCAGGACCTTGAGCTTGTGAGGCAAAACATTTTAAAAATTGCAATCTCTAGCATAAATGAGTTAATTCAAGAAGTGTTTGATTTCTTCTGTGGCTCATTTATTATTCAGAAGTATATCGTTTATAAATTTTTAATGTTTTTTATTTTTTAGAGAGAGTGTCATGATATAGTTGAGGCTGGCCTTGAGCTCTGTCTAACTCAGGGTAGCCTTGTACTTAGGGCAGTCCTCCTGCCTCATTCTCCCTAGTGCTAGGATTACATTTGTGCACCACCACACTGCTTCAAGAGTATATTGTTTAATCTCCATGTATTTGCATAATTTTTGTGCATAATTTTGTCATTGATTTCTAGTTCCATTGCACAGTGATCTGATAATATGTATGGGATCATTGTATTTAAGCAAGCTTTATGGCATAGTATGCAGTCTATTTTGGAGAAAGTTTCATGTGCTGCTGAGAGGAATGTTATCTTTTGTTGGGCTGAACATTATCAGTTAAATCCATTTGTTGAAGGTGTGATTCAACTCTAATATTTTTTGTTAGTTTTTGTCTAGTTGATTTATTTGTGAAAGTGTTGAGTTAAAGTCCCTCACTATGATTGTGTTGCTGTTTATCTCATCTTTTGTGTCCAGGAGTATTTGTTTTATGAAGTTGGGTGCCCTGGTATTTGGTACATATTTGTTTACAGTTGGTATCTTTTCCTTGTTAATTGTTCCCTTTATCAGTTCATAATCACCTTCTTTGCCTCCTCTGATCAGTTTTGGCTTGAAATTCATTTGTTTGAAAATAGGTTAGCTATTCCTGCTTACTTTCTAGGCTCTTGTATAGAATATTGTATTTTATCCTTTGATTTTTAGTTTGTGAGCTTCTTTAAAGAGTTGAGACCTTTTACATTGAGAGTTACTACTGAAAGGTTTTAACTGACCCTTGTCATTGCATTGGATGTGTTTGTTGCTAAATCCTTTGTTTTCCTTGCTCACACTGTTCCATGTATTCATTCCAATAAGCCTCATGGTGTTGAAGTCTTCATTGTTTCTGTCTAGGATATGCTTAAGTATTCTTTGTAGTGCTGGTTTGGTAGTCATGAGTTTCTTAACGTGCTCTTTGTAGTGGATACTAACTTCATCAAGTTTGAAATATTTTTGCAGGATATATTAACATGTTCCTGCCAGCTTGAACCACCAGTGGTACATGCATGACTGTCCCATTGGATGGCTTGAACCACTGTTGGTGCAAAGAGATCTAATCACTTTTATTGGTCTTTTTAATAATAAAATTAACAAAAGCTGCCCAATATGATAGTCATGCATATACCACCAGTAGTTCAAGCCATCAGGCAGTGAGACATACAATTACAGCCCCATCATATATGTGTTAATCTGGTTTGAAAGGCTTTTTTTTTTTTGTGAGGAGGGGCAGCTTGAAGAACTTCCTTCTAAGCTCTCCTGGCCTTTAAGGTTTGTTTTGAGAAATATACCATAATTCCAGTACATTTACCTTTGTACGAATTCTCCGACAGCCTAAAATCTATCCTTGTGTTGGACTTCTTGGATTTTGACTATGATATGTTATGGTGAGGATCTTTTCTGCTTATTCATATTTGGAGTTCTGTATGTCTCGTTTGCTTGAATTCTTCCTCCATACTTGGAAAGTTTTCGTCATTTGTGTCTCATTTTTCTCTAATTCCAGTTAGTTCTCAGGTTAGTCTTTGTGTCATCTAGCAGGTGTTGGATCCATTCCCACGATGTCTTGTTTTTAAGGTATCTGAGTATATGTCACCTGCATAAGCCCTGTTTTCTAGTTCTGACACACTGTCATCACATTGGTCACTTTTGCTGCCCATATTTTAATGGAATTTTTTAATCTCCTGGATTTCTTTTGGTTTTTGAGACAAGGTCTTGAAGTGTAGTTCAGGCTGGCCTTGAACTTGTGATGGTCCTTCAGCCTCAGCCTCCTGAGTACTGAGATTACAGGTATGTACCACCATGCCCAGCTTCTCCTAGATTTTTGTTTGGTACTTTTTCATGAACTATACTGGTCATTCCTATTTTATATTGTTTAGGTTAGCTCTGCTAGCTTTTATTTGTGTATTTTTTAAGTCTGTTATGTGTTTAGTTACATCATTTTTCTGAAGTCTTTTTTTTTTTGTACTGGGGTTCAAACTCAGGATCTTGTGCTTGCGTGGAAGATGCAGCATTGCTGAGCTACATCCTTGGCCCTAGTTACATCATTTTTGATCTTGCTGAACACCTATCTTGTTGATCTGATTTTGTTTGTTTGTGTGTTTCTTCTTTTATCTGTTCATACAGCCCTATCTCCCTGTTGCTGCCCATTGGATTAGCTTTGGGGGAGTTAGTTTTTGGAGGTGTTTTGTTCCTTTGTTTTCTTGTGTTTCTCTCTGTTTGTATCTTATGTGCTGATTATTGGGGATCAGTTAGAGTGGAGAGACTCCACTACTAGTATGGAGATCTCTAGTTAATTTCTGCTTTCCAACGAAGTGATCTTGGCCAAATATAGGCCTTTGCCTTTGTCTTAACATCATATTCCCTCAGTTAATTTGAGGAGGGAAGGTGCAGTATAATTGGCTTAGTACCCCGTTTTGTGTGGATTTCCACAAGGGCCATCTTGATCCCTGCTCCCATTCCTGCACCCTAAAATCCTGCAGCTACTTCTGTATTCTCCTTACACAAACCTTCTGCTAAAGACATGCTGGATATTGTTTCGCTAGGACACTACTCTCCACCTCTTTACCCATGATGTTTCCTTGCTCCTGCTCCTCAGAGCATCACTCTCTCCAGCCAGCAGATGTGATAGAGCCTCAGGGCGCACTGTGTTCTGTAGCCCCTGGTAGTGGGTGGTGGAGAATCCCATGTGTTTGTGCCTGACTAGGTGGCATGCAATGAGCTGGATATTGGTGTTCCTGGTATTTGGGGGAAGCATGGCCTTTGCCCAGGCCAGTCTGGTCTATTCTTTCTAGGATCTCACTATTCACAGATGCTCATGTAGCCTCTAAGCCATTCTCATCTCAGCATTCACATCTGGGTCTCTAATCCAGATATTGAGCTTATTTTCAACCTTAGACCCTGCTTGCTAATTTTCATTTTTTCCGATACCTTGGTTTGCAAATAATCTTGTTTGGGGGTTTCCTTTTGCTATTGGGGATAGTTGGAAGGTTAGGAGCCTATTCCAGCAGCCCAAATACTATTGAAGTGCATGCCGTCTTCCCTCAGGGCCTTAGATTGTCTCCCAAGATAGCATATATGCCAGACCCAGGGGGTGCTGTGGTCTTTGAGCAGTCTGCCTTCCCTTTATAAACCCTCCTGATACTGGGTTTGGATCTAGGGGGTTTGTCCTTAAGTTTCCCTTTCTATGTGCTGGGGATTTAGCTCAGTGGTTTCGCCACCTGCCTTGCAAGCACAGGTCCCAATTCCATCCCTGGTAACAACAACAACAACAAAAAAGTTTACCTTTCCATATCTCGCTTTCTTTGCCACTACTGTCTCAGAGTACCTTTATTTTTCCAGCTTCTTTGATGCTGCCTCTGACTATGATGGGAAACAAAACACAATAGTTCATTCCTCTTTATTGCCAAGTTTGATGGATGTACCACAATTTATTCATTCTCCATTTGGTAGACATTTGGAGAGTTTCTAGTTAGGGGCATTTATAAATAGAGCTTTGGATTTTCTTTATAACTATAAGCAAAATCAGTTTTAAGAGATTTAGTAAAAAAAAAAAAAAAAAAAAAGATTCTACTGCACCCACCCCCCAAAAAGAGAGAGAAGGATACTGTTGGATCCATTGGCTCTTAGGAATGGTTTATTCCAGTGCCCTGAGATTTTTGTTTTCCTATTTATGCCTCTAGAATATCTTTCTTTCCTGAAAATTTCGTATCTCCACCTTAAGCTAGCTCATAAGCTATTTCTTGGATGAATTGCAACTCTTTGGAGATTTTTTTTTTTTTTTTTTTTTTTTATAAATGCAGATTGAAATGCACTCTGCACTGAACTACAGTCACGGTCCTTTCAAATTTTTTTCATTTCAAACTGAGGTCTTGGGCTGGGGATTTAGTTCATTGGCACCGTGCCTGCCTTGCAAGCACATGGTCCTGAGTTTGATCTCTGGTACCCCCCCTCCAAAAAAAAATGAGTTCTCACTAAGTCATTAAACAGCAGAGTCAGAAAACAGCAGAGCCCCGTGACTGACCCTAGGAAGAGTAGTTTAGAAGACTCACGTACTGAGTTGGGAGAGACATCTGCTAAGGTACACAGGCAGAAAAAAATGGTTAGAGAAACAAAGGAGGCCCAGGAGAGAAAGAAGGCAAGAACCCATAGAAAAGGTAGCAGCTGGGTAGTTGCCTAGGCTGGGTTGAACTTCCAGTCCTCTCCTTCAGCTTCCCTAGTGTGGCCACTACCACACCAAGCCACAGATCTTTGTTTTTAGTAGAAATTGCAAATGGTGTCCAATCTTTCTGTTGCTTCTGACAGGTTGGGCATGGAAGGACTGGAGGCTGCTGGGGGATCCAGCTCTGAGAGTTCGGATGGTGACAATGAAGAAGTACCTAGTACTTCGGGAATGAGCTTCTCCACTCCAAAAAACAGCAGGAATTGTATTGAAGTGACAGCCAAATTTCCCAGCGGTGCTCAGAGGGCAAGAGAATTGACTGAAGACTCTGAATCATCAGAAAAACAGCAGAGCACTGTAACTGATCCTAAGAGGGGTATTTCAGAAGACTTACGTGCTGAGCTGGGACAGACATCTGCTGAGGAGCACAGACAAGAAAAGGTGGTTAGAGGAACAGAGGTGACCCAAGAGAGAAAGAAGGCAGAGCGTCAAGAATCCAAAGAAAAAGTAGAAGCCGGGACTGGACTTAAAATGGATAAAGAGACAAAAGAAATGATTGATGGAGAAAGAGCTGACAAGATAGCTTCTGGAGAAGTTAGGAGAAACATCCCCATTTCAAAAGTAGCGGAAACCCCATCAGGAAGCAGAGTAAGTGTTACTGTATTTTAGGTTGATGTCTAGAGGAAAATCCATATAAACCCCACAGTGTCATTAAACAAAAATGTGTTTTTCCCCCTATCATTTGCTTAGTGAAATAGTTATTTAATACTAAGAAGTATAGATGATGATGGTTTGTCTCTCAAAAAAGCTTTGGAATTTATACTGATCTGCCACTAGTTGGTGTCTAAGGTGCATATTTCATCAGTTCCAAGATGCCTGTTTTTCACATTTTAGCATCTCTGAAATCATGTTTATATCACGTCATAGTTTAATTGGTACTCTTTTTTTTCTAAAGGTTTTTTTTTTAATTTTTTAATTTTTTTTTTGAGACAGGGTCTCACTATGTCGTTGTGGCTGACCTGGAACTCATTATGTAGCTCAGGTTGGTCTCGAACTCACAGTGATCCTCCTGCCTTAGCCTCCTGAGTGCTGGGATTACAGGCACGCACTACCATGCCCGGCTAAAGTTTTGTTTTTAAAGGGCGGAAAATAAACAGGCTCTGTAGAGCGGGTTTGGGCCAAGTAAAAGTAGGAAAAGAAGTACACCCTATAGCAGAGGGTGGGCCATTATGCTAGAGAGAACACAGTACCTATTCTTAGTACATGAGGATATTTAGAAGGTGGCAATTTAGATTTGATGAAATGTGCTCACATTTCCTATCACTAAATTACTGTTTATTCTTCCTCATGTGTGGCAGTTTGAACAAAGATTATCAACTAGAGATCTTTCGTATAGAAGAGAAGGACCCATTCCTTTTTAAATTAATCATTAAATCTTAAATCCTACCTTCAGTCTGTTATGGTTTATATCTGTAGTGTTTCTCAAAGCCTCATGTGCTCATGGGTGGGTCTTTAAGAGTTGATTGGATCATCAGTATGCAATACTTAATCGATGAAGAATTAATAGCTAAATATGATATTGGGAGGAAATGGGTCCCTGGGACTATTTCCTGGAAGGGTAATCTCCCTTTCTCCCTTAATAACGTTCTGCTTCTTGGAGCTACACTGTTAGTGGTGCCTCTTCTGCCATGCTGCCCTGCCTTGGAACCACCTGTGTGGACTGAAACATCTACAAACTGAGAGCCATAATAAACCTCACCTCCTTTAACTTGTGGGTGTTAAGTATTTTGTCCCAGCAGCAAGAAAGTAACTAAGGCAGTTTTTGGTACCAGAGAAGTGGGGCTGTTGCTGTGATACTGTTGTAGGAAATCTGGACTGGGAAAGACAAACGCATGCAAAAGAGATAGAGGAAAGCCAAGGGTTTATTTGACTGGATGGCTCAGTGGAGCTAGGTACACTGTAAAGACGTGGGCCCCGAAAAAAAAAAATGGGTAGTTTTCTAGTAGTTTAAGTTGGTGTGGGCTTAGGTTGGGGCTTTCTTTAGGAACAGGATATTCATCATAACACAACAGGATACATATTGTGAATGTTGAGGTGAACTGGATACATTTTCAAGGCTAATAGAGGGGACATAACAAGATATACATTGTGAACTTTGAGGCTAACAGCGTGTGTGTGTGTGTGTGTGTGTGTGTGTGTATACAATTCTATGTATTTGAGGCGCTCTCTCTCTCTCTCTCTCTCTCTCTATATATATATATATATATATTCTGTACATATTTAGGCTAACTATGAGGACATAACAGTACATACTGTGAATTTGTAGTGGCTTACATTGTGATTATATAAAGTATCACTCATTGGGAGGGCTTGTAGATCTGCCTGTTTCTAGGTAAACAGGAACAAAATAAGGGCCTGTGGGTATTCTTAAAAGTCTTGAAGGCCTAAAAGTTTAAAACTTCTGCATTATTGCTACCTGACTATGTGGTTCAGAAGCCCTTGGAATTGGCTTGCAAGAAGAGTTTAGAAAGGTTTAGAGATGCCTATTGGAGAAGCAGCCCTAGAATGGTATGAGCCCAACTTGATGGGAGCTTCTGGTTGGATGGAGCTCAGAAGACCAGAGTGATGAGAGTAATGTAGCTAATAAAGACTAGGCTCAGGTTTCTATTGGGAAGAAATGATAACATAGGATGGATCTGACAGACTCCGGATTCTTGTGTACAGTGAGCAATGAATGAATTGCAAGTCCAATGGTAAAAGCAGCCATATCTATTGAATATTATGGAAAGATGTGCTCAGGGCCGGTCCATGGTGATAAAAATATAGCATGAACCAAAAAGTGGTGCTGGAATGATAGGAAAATGAAAAGCACAGATAAATCAGGCATTTGGATTTTAAAGGACATAAACTCCCCAGCTTTGGTGCTTTTTACTGAGTCTGTAAGATTGACAGGAATGATTGACAGTGCTGAGTCATTCTAAGGACTTGCAGTGGGCATGAGTGTCCCAGAATTCACTCTGATTTAATTACATGTATGTGTTGCACTCTATAGGGGGAAGCGATTACTGAAAGTCAGTCCAAGAGATCTAATATTCGTGTGTTCTGACCTGAAACTTTAGTGATTTTTCTGAGATTTTACTTTTTACCTCTCTTAGAATAGTGGAAGGAGGATTGGTCCTGGGATGTCACCCAAACTCAAGTAGGTGGAGAGGAGTGGTCTCCCAACCCCCACTGTGCTACCTGTACTAGAAGAATGCCATTGGTAGTTCAACTCCATGCCATGTGTATTATGCTCTGGTTGAAAATTTGTCTGCATTTTGTTCATGTCTAGAGACTAGGGCAGCAGATTAATCTGGTAGAAGAAATTTCAGGGTAGTCTAATGCTGAAGAGGTAGCATGGCTACTGCTGGGGGCTTTTAGCCAGCTCTAGTTTGAGAATCAAGAGCTAACAGCCTAGCAGCATGATTTTAAAAATTTTGCATTTGGCCAGAAAGGAAGCTCTGGTAAACTTGGGACCTACAAAGATGGAGCAGAGGATAACCTGGTGGTTGAAAAGATTAGCATAGAAAGCCAAGTACTACTTTGGAAAAGAACAATAGAAAAAATGGCCTGAGGGCATCACAAGAGCCAGCAAGACTCCACCCTTTGCAGGCTCAAAATTACAAAAGTGAAAGGCCCCAGAAGAGCGCCCCAAGGTGCCTAGGCCTGCAGCCTAGGGAATGGGATTTAATTATGAGGATTTATTTCACTATGCTCAGGCATTCACGTACTCAAAGGCCTCTGCTACCACCAGCGAGATACAGAAGCCCTCAGCTGCTGTTCCATTTGGCATCAGAAAGTGTCGTCCATGTGGTGCTAGTTTTATATGCGTGCAGAATGCAAGAGTTGTAGGTTCAAGGAGGCTTCCATCTGGATTTCAGAAGGCCTGGGAGGTTAGGCAATGCGCCCTGAGAAGGCAGTGTATGAAACTGAGTGTAAAGGCAAAAGTATAGAAGAGACCCCAGGATGTTGGAAAAGCCAAGGAGGTGGAATGTCTGAGGAAGGCTGCAACAAATGAGTAAAGCCAGCCCAAGACAAAGGTCTTGAGGGCTACAACCATGAGCAGAGACATAGGTGCAGAGCCACCCAGATTGCCCTGGGTGCTGGACAAAGCAGTGTGGGATTTAACGTTTGCCCTGCTGGGTTTTAGTTTTCTTTTGGTCCTGTTCCTTTCAGTTCCCCTCTTTCTACCTTTTGGAATGGAAATATTTATCTTGAGCCATTGTGTGTTGGAAATGTTTAGTTTTCTTTTCATATTTACAATGGCTCCCAGCTGAGAATTGGCCTTAAACCTCAGAGGAGACTTTGGATTTAGACTTTTCAGCAATGCTACAACTGTTAGGACTTTGGCATCTCTTAGAGATGGACTAAATACCTTTTGCATAAAGGGTTGTACATAACTTTTTGGGGGGTTAGGGGTGGAATGTTATGGTTTATATCTAAAATGTCCCTCAAAGGTTTATTCGCTCATAGGTGAGGTTTTTGGGATTCACTGATGAATTTATAGCTAAACCTTATGTTTCTGGTACTTGGGATTGAACTCAGGACCTTGCTCTTGAAAGGCAGGCGTGGTGCCACTGAGCTAAATCCCCAGCCCAGCTAAATGTGATGTTAAGAGGAGGTGGGTCACTGGTTCTGTGGTGTGGTAGGTTGTATCTGCTCCCTTTTCCCTTGATCTCTACAAACTGATAGCCAAAATAAACCTCCTTTAACTTGAAGGTGTTAGGTATTTTGTCCCACCAATGAGGAAGTAACGAAGACAGTTTTTAAAAAAATTAATTTTCATTGTACATACATGATTATTTTCAATCTTCAGTGGAATGACTGCTAACAAAAATTTGACTCTATGAGCTAATGATTTAGGATAGGTGACATCTGAACTCCTTGATTTTTCTTTAATAAACACAAAGCCCAAACTCATTGATTGCCTGTATTGTAGAATACATTGGGATCTGTCATGCTGTCTTAGTTAAGGAAGGAAGGGTTTATTTGGCTCACAGTTCATAGAGATTTCAGTCCATAGTCAGCTGGTTCCAAGGTAGGGTGGGTATCGCAGAGGAGAAACATTTCATGACAAAGCAGGGCAGGCAGATGGCAGCAAGTAGCAAGCAAGCAACAAGTGACAAGCCTCTTTCTGTCCCTTATATTTTATTCACACCCTTAATCCTAGAGCCCTGGTATTGCATCATGAATCAACAGTATCATGCCCTCTAGCTCCAGCCACATCTGAAAAGCCCCACCTATGATTGCATGAGGCTTTGGGAGGACATCTAGACACAGCCATAATACATGCTAAGGACTTTAATTTGACTCTCACACTATGTCTAGCATTGTAGTGCAGTTTTTATGTTGCAGGCATACATTAGCTTTTATTAACTGGTGTCTTAGAAAGTGAAAAAGGAACAAAATAAAAGCTGTTGGATATGTTGGCACACACCTGTAATCCTAGCTACTCAGGAGGCTAGGCTGGTGGACTCTAAGATTTTGGCCAGCCTGGGCAATTTAGTAAGACCCTATCTGTGCATAAAATGGGCTGAGGGTATTGTAGCTCATTGGTAGAGCACGTGAAGCATGAGGCCTGTCTTCAAATACCAGAACCCAAGGGAAGA